GCCCACGCGGGTCGGCGCGTGGAGCGGGCGCAGCGCGGAGCCTCGCGTCCCGGTGCCCGGGCCGTGCGCATCCCGACCCCGCGGCGCTGCCCGTGCCAACCGCATCCGGAAGGAGCCCAGGAGGAACCGGCTCCGCTTTCCTCTCTTGGGCGAAGCCTCCTTCCCGAGCCGCGCGGCCGAGAGCCGCCTCGTTGTCACCGCGCCGCCGCACCCGGTCTCCGGCCCCATTCTCGGCCCCTTCCCCGGTCCCGGTCCGGCCCAAGCACCAAGCATCCAAGCCCGGCCCGGCTGGGATGCACCCGGGGCGCCTTGGCCACACCCGGGAGTCGCGTGAGGAGGACGGGGCCGCGGCGAGCGCAGCCGGTGAGGGGGGCTCAGGTGCTTTGTGCAGCGCACAGGGCCCAGGCCGGGGGCGGTGGGCAGAGGGAAGCAGGGCGGACGGGGCGCCGTGCAAGGCAGCGGGGAGGCAAGTTGGGACCCCCTCGCCAGAGCACCGGGGGAGCAGGAGCAACAGGGTCCTTGATTGGACGCGAGGAGATCATTTCCTGTGAAGGAGAGGAAGCCGGCGGCGGCTGCCAGGCCCGGGGGCCCCGGGGTGGAGGTGGCCAGGCCAGTTGCGTGGGACACTGAGCCCCAGCTTCCAAGCAAGACGCCGGCCCGCGGAACAATGACTCACTTACAGGCTGGCCTGTCTCCCGAAACCTTGGAGAAGGCTCGCTTGGAGCTGAATGAGAACCCCGACACTCTGCACCAGGACATCCAAGAGGTGAGGGACATGGTCATCACCAGGCCGGACATTGGCTTCCTGCGCACAGACGATGCGTTCATCCTGCGCTTCTTGCGGGCCAGGAAGTTTCATCACTTTGAGGCCTTCCGCCTCTTGGCCCAATACTTCGAGTACCGGCAGCAGAACCTGGACATGTTCAAAAGCTTCAAGGCCACAGACCCAGGCATCAAGCAGGCCTTGAAGGACGGCTTCCCCGGGGGCCTAGCCAACCTGGACCATTACGGCAGGAAGATCCTTGTCCTTTTTGCTGCCAACTGGGATCAAAGCAGGTAAGTCCTCAACCCTGACTGGTACTAACAATCCTTTTACTCGCCCATTTTCCAGAACTTACCCTAACAGTGGCATGGGTCTTGCAACTCTGTGTTTTATTTATCTGGCTGGGCAGGGGAAAAAAAAAACCCTGGGACTAATAAGCCAGTGAGTGGCAGCGCCCTGAGAAGGCAGGGCTTTTATTTTTGCTTTTAAAACTCCTCTTTCCCTAATACCCAGTTTCCATTGCATCTTTAAGTGCTTCCTGAACCATATTATTATGCTGAGATGTAAATTGCTTAACATCTAAATAAAGCTTCCACATTTTCACCTGCTATTGAGTTTTCGGTCTAGGGAAGTGAGGAGAGGATGGAGACAAGTTTTCCATCTTCTAGAGAGATTCTAAAACTAGCTGCATCCTCCTCATTGTCTTGGAGCCGCTCTTCTCCAAAGAAAAGTGAGGGCGCGGAGGGAGACACAAGCAGGTAGCCTTGGTGTGGGGGAGCTTTTCTGCTCCATGTGGTGCAGATGAAGGCGTAATGCGACGCATGTCACTTCAGTGAAAAGGAAGAGCTGTCTGTGCCGTCACAGAGCATGCCTTTCCAGGCTGAAAACAAAGGCTGACTGGTGAGTTTGTTCTCCTGCCCGCTGTCAACAACCTGAAGAAGGTGTTTCCTGTCGGCTGTGATTTTTCCTCTTGAGGAAGTTGAAAGCTGAGGCAGATCAGCAGGTAGGCTCCTCAGCGTGGGTGCTGTTGAGCAGAGCGGAGTCCTGGTCTCACGGCCTCTGTGTTACAGAGAGATGTGGACTGTGCCTCTTCTAATTCTTTAATCAGAATTATTTTCTCAGGCTGAGAGATGTAAGAAACTGTAAAAAGCTCTTGGGTAAGGAAGCATCAGTTAGGTTCAAAGTTAAAGCGTATCATGGGACCTAAAAATGTTACCCAGAGCGAAGAGTCATAAAGAGCTGTTTCTTAAAACACTGAGGTATTTTTAGTTCTGTGAATGGTAACTGTTGCTGCACCTGGTTCATTTTCTGGAGGAATTGCAAATGACTTCTACAGTTCCCGAGAGATTTTTACAGATCTTTCGTGTTTCTGGGCAGGGTTCAGAGTTTCTTGGAAGTGAGAATTTAAATTAGTATTTTAAAATAGTTCTTTCTTTAATTGACAACTTTCCCCTATACATAGAGAGAACCTCTGATCTGTTTTTTTAGGTAAACACAAAACAGTCTATTACCTGAAAAATCATCAAGCCTTTAAGAAAGAGAATCAACCACTAGAAGGGAAAGAGGTTTCCTTACTTCCGGTGGTTGTAGGAACCTCACTCCACTTTTTATCAGGTGGCAAATTGAAAGAACTCTCTTTAACTGTGCTCTTTTTTAACAAAAGACTTTTTAAATCTGCTGCATATGTTGTCTAATTAAACAAAATAATGATTGTGCACTAAAATTGGAAACATTTATTTGCAAAACAACATAATCATAATGTTCCTGTTTGGGTTAGACTGAGCATTTATTTTCTTGAATATATTGATATGAGAACTGTGGACTATATATATTAGGGAAATTTTACTTGGAAAGATTTTTCATTTCTTTCTACAACTGAAACAGTATTTGCATTGATTTATAAGCTTAAGTTGAGATGAAAGTCACTTACAGTTCTGATGTATGTGAGAAAGTGGTTATCCTGGATATATAAAGAAAAATATTTTAGTTTTGTCATATATTTGTATAAACACGTGGTATTGGTAATCAAAATCCCTCTCTTCAAATTATAGTGGGAAGAGATTTATTAGTTGGTTTGTGGAGTTTTTTAAATTAAAACTTCACACCATTATAAGCACAAAATATTGTGCATTTAAAATTAAAAATAAGCTGGGCCATATACAAATATACTATCAGGAGCTATAGTTTAATAACTGCTAATTGTTTCTATGGTTAGAACAGAACAGGCATAAGCAAGAATTTATAGTACTGCAAGGTAAAAAAGAATATAGTATAACTGGTCTAAATTTCAGTTTCTTTTAGCTCCTGTATTCTTTAAAAAAGTTTCTCCTCTCCCTATCCACATTCATCCAGTTACTTTTCTCTAGTTGCTAAGACAAAATACACAATCCCCAAAATTAAGGAAGGGAAGGTTTATTTAGTTCAGTCTGTAGAGATTTCAGTCTATAATCAGCTGGTTCCAAAGCAGGGTGGCACATAGTTGCCAAGCACAGCAAAAACAATAAGATCAAAAGGAGGGAGCCAGCCTCCTTTCTTCCCTTATATCGAATGCAGGCTACCCGCCCCAGGGTGGACAGAGCACTCTTACGTCTCCTTGCTCTTCTCCTGCACTGCTCAGGATGTTTACAAAGTGAGGACCGTGGCCTCCTGCTGAGTCACTGGTTAAACTTTTCACATTGACTCAATAAATTGACCATCACAATATTCTAGAGTGTAAACAGCTACCCTAGGGCATGTCCTTTGCAATTTAGGATGCAGAACTGCTGAATTACTTAAGCCTCTAAGCACCTCACATAGACACAGTGAATGCACCCTAACATCTCCAAATTCACAAGTCCCGAATGCAAGTGACAGGAAGCAGTTCTGGCTTCCTGGAATCTGCGGTTGGAGGATACCTCTAGAAGATGAGCATACACATTGTGTTGACTTCTGCCCTGAAGCTGGAAGGACATCTGCTTCTTCAATCGTTGCTGCAGTCTCACCCCAAGTCCGCTTCTTCCCCTGGAAGTCTCAGGCTTGTTTGACTTAACTCCCATAGAAGTTTCCACCTCCTTCACTCATGGTTACCTGCCATCACAGCTCTGTCAGGTGCCTGTGCCACGTGCAACATCTTTCCCTCCTCTTTCTCTGCATCCTGCCAGGGTTCTCACTAACCTTCTTGCCCTCCTCCTGGTAGGCCCAAGCCGCTTGGGTCTCCAGAAAATTGCAGATCTGCACAGAATTCTGACCACAGTCCTTGAGTTCCTTGAGTTGAACAACTTCCTCTTTGAAAAACAGTGTTGTTTTCAGGAAACAGTAGGTAGGACAGGTGAATATGACACAGGGAAATTCTAGAAATGCAGTAGAAAATGTTCCCCTTTATTTGGGGAACAATGAAGTTATTTCCAACTTTCTATCTACAAAAGGAAAACGAGTTCATGAAGTTTTACAGCAATTGTAAGGTTCCTTGAAAGAATTAATGTGTGCAAAAAAGGATGTTATAAAAGCACTTGGAGTAGATGGTAAATGTTTGAGTTAAGAGTCATGTGAAGTTTTAGAAAGGAATTTTAAGTAGAAGAATTTGTCTGTTGAGTGCTTCTTCCCATTGTAAATTTGTGCGACAATTTTCTGTGCTCCTCAAGTAGTAGCGTGGGAGATGGCCACTGTCAGTAAAATGCAGTATGGGTTGCATGCAGATTATGATAGAAAATTGGGCTCTGAAAAGTCTTATGAGACATGGTCATCTGGAAGACTAAGGTAAAAATTGTAATTTTTGCAACGGACCCATGTTTTAACACATCTCTGAAAGTAAAGCTCTGAATTGCCGATATGAATTCACTATGGCCTGTGGCTCGTTAAGAAAGGAACTGAACCAGCGTTGAGGCTCTGTTGCTTTCGTCAGGCAGGCTGCTCCTGGCAGAGATGCACATGATTTTGTCTCTTGTCAGAGCAGAAGGAAGCAGAAAAGTTAGGAATGGTCAGGGGCGCCCTGCGTCGGGAGCACCCGGTTGTCCTGCAGTGTCCGTGCCTCGTTCCTTCCTAAGCGACAGCATCCTGCGTAGGACTGGGTGGACACCTGCATGTCACCTAGCAGATCTCATGAGGGAGAGGGAGGAGCACTGTCCACTGCTTGAGGAGAGGGAGCGCTGTAGACCCCAGGGCACGCCTGGGAACCAGCACCTGAGAAGTTGGAACCACTGGCCCATAATTACAGGCAACATTCCTGAGAGAAGTGGCATCACCTGACACATGAGGCTGACAGGCAGGCCGAGCATGGCCTGCAAGTCGTCAGTTAGCAGCCGGTAGGGCTTCACTCTTGTCAACCTCATTACACTTAGGAACCGATTTTAGATATGGAAGGATAGTGAGCAACGTTTATGTGGAATCCCTTTATTGGTCCCTAGAAGACAATGGACTATGAATAGCACTCGAAGTATTCTTACCAGAGTGGCATTCACACAGCACCGACCATGCAGCACTGTCTTTGGGTCGTGAATAATGGACACGGAGTCTCTGGGCTGACGCTCTGGAGGGGGTGACACACTGCTGGCCTCATGTGGCTGTGGGCCTCAGCCTGTTTGGGACCTGGCCTCAAAGACGGAGCTCTTACAGCATGTATTTCACTGCCATAATGAGCAAGTTTATGAGGGAAAAGATGCCCCTGCATGTTGGATGCCTATGACATCTAATGACAAACTGAACAATTAATATTTCATTCAAACTGAATTTTGAAAAGCTGACTTCAGTTAAGTATTTACTATGTACCTGAAATTTAGCAGGTATCGGGGCAAAGAAAGACCGCAATGTGTGCATTATGCCATTCAGCCTCTCTAGGAAGAAAAAATGTGAATATCTAATAGCTACCAGAGAACTCACAGGCAGATGCTGCTTACGGAAGCCACTGGTCAGCCCCGGGGAGTTCTGGGCACCGGGAGCTCCGCGGTGCACACAGGGAGAGTGTCGCTAGTGTGCACGGTGGGACTGAGGTCTTGTTCAGTTTCATTTACTCCTTCATTCTGAGTCACTTTTGCAGCCTGTGTTACTGCAGAGAAGCCCTGTCCCCTGACACACAGCTAGGAGGGCCGGGAGCCGCTTCCTTCCATGCAGACAGCTAAACCAAGGGGAAGAGAGGTGAGGATAATTATATTGAAAAGAGCTCTGATAATTAAAAAATCCATTTACGATTTCAAAAATCTTGATTAAACATGAAAACCTAGATCATTAGGGACAAGATCGTAGGGTGCAAGCATAGATTTCCTGAAGGCAGAGACTACTAACTGGATTAGAGTAGCTGTTCTGGAATTGTTGGCTCCCA